TCACTACTCCTATAGGTGGGGGTGTATATATATATATATATATATAAATGTGTCTTTTATATATATATATGTATATATATATATATAATGTGACTTTCTTGGAAAATGCGATAAAGACCACAAAGTAATCCAAGAATACATGTGTATCCTCCAAGATTTACCACCATGTCACTAATCAGTATTCTTTTCAGTAAGGTAAAAAAAATAATTCCTGATACTCAAGGCTAGTATTGTAACCAGTTTCCTAAATCAATTTGATTCAATTCACATGGTTCTGATACCATTACTCATAATTTAATTAAAGTCAATCTGCACTTGATTAACAATGCTTCTAATTAATGGCTCTACTGTATTACAAAATAGTTTTCAGAAAGGGAAATTAATAAAAATAAAACTAATAAAATATTCAGTGTTTGTGCAAAATTGTGAACAAAAGTGTGTTTCACAAACACATTGTGTTTGTGCTACACACTTTTGCACCAACAGCTTGCCTGTGCAAAATTGTTACCTGACACTAATTTTTACATTAGATGACAATAATTTCAGTAACTCTTTCATACTGGTGCCCAGAGTTATGAGGGTGGAGTGGTCGTATTTTTGCACCCAATGGTCTCATGGTTGTTGATACTCCATAAAACTGGTTAACAGGTTTCAGTCTTTGAACCATCTCTTCCAATACCTTCCTGTGAACCAACAAAAGCATGTTTTTGTCACTGATGAACATAAATAACTCTCTACCTTGGAAAATAACTTCAACACTGTTGTGTTGTTCTCAGCTGTTTCACCTTTAACAATAACCCGCTGCAAATTGTTTATACATAAGCAGTGTCAAACTGTAAGGTTCAACTGTAAACAGCTACACAGACAAAGACAAGGTGGAGCAGAGCTGCTGGCAGTGAGCAATGAAACACTTTACACAGAATATGAAACTTGATATCCACATCACAAAATGTCAGCACTGATGCTTATAAACTAGAATGATGGCACATCCTGGTGCATGTTATATTTTAGGGACTCGTCAAACCAGTACCTTAATGTTCAAAAGGTCAGAAGTATATTACCTGACCTTTACCAACTGACAGTTAATATAAGATAATAAGTTGTAGTGAGCAGTTGTGCCACATTAGTAAGGAAAGCATTACCAATGCAAACGTAGTGGCGATGACCATTCATCATTGACATCATTTTTTAACAAGAGCTGCAGCCAAATTTTAAAATATATACAGCGCCTCAGTGTGGCTGGTAAATCAAATTCTACGACATTACATGGGAACCCGTAAAGCAACTTGTAACATCACTTGACCAGCAACTGTGCAACCTGTGGTCCGTCTTGATTGTAAGCTGTTTAACAGGTGTGAAATATTTCTCATTTTTACCTCGGTCAGGATAAACAGGAGTGCTGTCACACACAACTTCCGCCGTAGGCCAGATGTCCGGACACAGCATAACCGTGGCCGCACAGCCACACGTTTCTCCATTATGATAACTGACGACGTACTGTTGACTAGAGAGGAGACTGATAAGTGGTTGTAAAAAAAACTTAATGAAAGCTAAAGACGTACTGGTGCCGTAAATAGACGTTGTAGTTCAGCCTGAGCAATACAGTCAGACCCAGTCTTTTTACATACTCTCAGAGAGTTTACGACAACTCTATTTTTGTATAAAAAGACAGTTTTTGTGTAAAAGGTAAATTAACCCGTTAATCGGTTTATAAAGAGCCAACATTATATTTCCACTCCACCTGGTCCACAACTGATACAACGTCGACGTTTACTAATTCTAATGTTGGCTACATTTTTAACATATGGGGGCTTAAGTTTTACCTTTTGGTTTTTCAAACATTTGCCTTTTCCGTACGAGCTGTGTATTGAGTGTTTACAGAGCTGAGAATGCAGGACCGCAGAACTAAACACAAGCTAGCATGTTAACTTATCGACAAAAAGGTTTACCTAACGCACTAGTATCGATAACATAACTAAACACCACATAAACGCATCCATTATTGAGTTTAATCGAGAAAAGCTTGTTTGTGGTCAGGTTATCTTTCCCCTTGAGACTTCCATACACATTTGATCAACTGTTTGTTTGATAAACGAGAGCAATACTGCACTTCCGGTTTAATTTAAATGCCCTCTTGCTACGCATGCGCAAACTATCGAGAGGAAATGACGCCACGTAAACGTCCCATAGTGGAGATTATCGTTAATGCAGAAATAATTTGTATTTATTCACCAAATGAGGAAACTGAGGTCCTTCGGCGTGTGTAGGACACTCCACAGAACCTCTTATGACTCGTTGGTGGCGTCTGCACTATTATACACCATCATCTGTTGGGGAGTGGTTTAACCTCTAGAGACAAAAATCGTCTGGAGAAGGAGGGGAAAGAAAGCGAACTACTTGAAGCTGGTTAGGAGGGCCAGCTTGGTCTCTTAGAGACTCTGGGAGAGGTGGGTGAGAGGACGATTTTAGCCAAGTTAAAATACATATGGACAATCCCTCTCACCCTCTGTTTGAAACTGTGGAAGCGCTGAGCAGTTCTTTCAGCAACAGGCTGCTGCAACCTCAGTGTAAAACTGAAATAAATAAATACTAAACTAAATACTATGTCTACCCTGCTGTTACTTTACTTTTAGTACTACATGTCTATCCTGCAGCTGTAACAACATCTTATCTTGTCTTTTTTGATGAGTGGTTAAGAGTCTGATTCTTTACTTAATTAGGTATATGACGTGAATATCATCGTTCTTTCAGATATCTGAGATTCAGTGTCATAGTACTTCCAGACATCGGAGTTTTTACATCATCGTACTTTTAAGCTATCTGAGATCATTTTTCAAGGTTTATTTTTGTTAATAATATATATATACAGGTAAAGGTATACAGGTAAAGTAAGGCTCCACTTCCCACTTTCCATTTCCTCTAAGGCTAAACACATCAAGCCTATAGTTATGTAGATGTGTATAAATGTTTATTAAACATATCTTATAAGCACATTTATCTGGATACGTAGGATTTTTCTCTGGTGACTATATGAATTCTAAATATATGCTAATAGTTGTCATTTGCTCAGTTTTTATTTATTTATTTATATTTTATTCCAGTGCACTCTACCATTGGTTGGTTGGTGAGGGGCAAAGCCAGGGGATGTTGGAAAGCATAAGAAATAATCCCTGGCCAATGCCTGGACTTGAACACACGCCAGGGTCCATTGCCTGTTGGTGGAATGTATATTTGTCAGGTAAAGCAGATGTTGTAAAACACATCCTGCCACCCCACCTACCTACCACACCACCCCCAACCCCAAGAGTCAACAGCAGTAGTACTTCAGTAGTTATATTTTTGTAATTAAAATTTCCTTCTAGAGGGTGACAGAGTGACTTCTGGCCCAGTAAAGGCTAAGATATATCCAAAAATAGATGTTATAAAACATAGGAATTAAACTTCAACATGGTCTAATGTCTGGATTTAAAATCACCCTCCATTGTCTGTGCCTGGATACCAGTTTTTTTACATTCTTGCTAATTTGTAATTGTCTTGGAAGCCATGGTACTCCTATCCACGTCTCCAGCACCATTGTCAGAAGACTTATCCCCTGAGCTATACTGTCATATATGTAGACACAGAAGAAGAATGGAATTGGTTTCTCTCTTATGAGCAATTATGACACTTTAAATTTTCTTGTGAAAAAAATGAGTTTCCCAACAGGAAAAGTTCTTTGCAACTGATTCTCCATGACAATATAGCCCAGGGACTCCAACTGTGACGCAGGCAATGTGAAAATATCAGCAGAAACACATTTGCACAGTCGACTTCTTAAATATCAGTTATGTGCCATTTTTATTAACATGGCAAAAAATATTACTGTTGAGGGTAAGTGGGATGAAGGAAAAGCAATAATTGCAGCCAATGTTTATTCAAAGCCATCTGCTCTTTTCTGTTCAATATTTACCATATTTACAACACCAGAGACAAGTTTCAACCACAACATTAAAATAGTGTGTTAATGTGTACTTCTGCCCTATGACAAATGGTGTTAGTGCTCTTCTTTTGCTGCAGAATCAGCTCTTTGCAAAACAAAATTTTACAAGTCAAGTCTATTTGGAATTAGTCTGAAAAGCTTTGATTCTTATATTTTTTAATCATTCTGCTGACTCATAGTTGTTGTTTATTGTCAGGAACAAATACCCAATAGACTGTTAAGTCCTAAAGTCTAAAGGGCAGTTGTGTTTAGGATAAGAAGAATTAATTGTTCATTTAAGTTGAGATAGGATTGCTCCAGTAACAGTAGTGCTTTAGCCATCTGTCTGTTGCCACTGTATAACACAGATGGCATCCAGGGTTCTGCATGGGGTCTTAGTCCTGGGAGTTGGAAGCTCACCTCCTATTTAATGTTAACCACATGGCAGCATGGGTTGCATCAAAAGCAGACAAAAAGAGAGTAGAAAAGCAATGTCCCTTTAGTTCATCTCTACTTGTGGCACTGAAACTGGTGGATACTGCCCCCTTTGGTCTTGTCCGTCACAACACACACTCTGCTGGAAAAGTTGCTGAATTGCAAAAGTCCTGTTTAGACTTACTTCTGAGAGGAGTCACTTATGTCTTCTAAAACTCCACCATACTGTTTCTAGAGTATGCTTTGCCATATACTTTGTATTTCAACTTGAGACCCTCCAAACTTATGCTTACATATTAATGGAGACAAATAACAAGGTTTCTTTTAACACAAAAAGAAGACAGTAGAGGACAGTATAGCGGTCTGACGGTCCCAGGGAGATTAGTGGAACACAGCAGATGTTACTCTTTGATTACCAATAGTGTCTGCCAGGGGCAAGCCTTGGCTCTGCACCCTAGAGATTTGGTGTGCAAACCCCAGACGCTACTTCTCAGTTTTTAAATACATACATGTAAAAATCTGCTGTGCTGTGCTGATAAGAAATGTATTCTAAAAAACTGTGTTAAGCATTCTCGACATATGTACCAGTTTCATACTACAACAGCTGTTTAATTAACAATATTTAAACATGCAAGCCATATTAGAACGCTTCAACATGCATTTACTAATAACGTTTTTAGTGACACACATGTATACTATAGCACTGAAAATTTACCAACTTGTGTAACTGTTGTAAAGTTGTAAAAATGCAGCCACAGTCACACGCAAAAAAGAATAACAGCAAAGTCATCATCAGCATCTTATAGCAAAAACGAATAACCTGAAATCCAAACTTATCTACGTACTTGCTGTATGGAAAACATCTATTTGTAATTAATGTATGCGTTTGTGAGCAGTGCTTATTACAACCTTACTCAGCGTGAACTACAATGAATCTACTTTGTACGTTCAGTACACGTTTGGTCGTCTCTCGATGAATCTACTTTGTACGTTCAGTACACATGTTTGGTCGTCTCTCGCTCTCTTTAAATCACACACCGTTGCCATGTTATCATATTACACTATCGTATATTGACAAAGTGTACTGCCTATACGTTCAGCTCGAAACTCTGATTACTTTTCATTACTTCGGGGTAGCTCATACCAAGATTTAGACGAACAGGGGTAGTTGTTGTCACGGGACACGTCGTCAAGTGATTACAATTTTTTTATTTCCAACTTAAGAGCAATTAACTTATCAATTAAGAAGAAAAATATACACTTTAATTTTAATTTAAGTTAAACAAAATAGTTTAGTGGTCCGGACAAGTTGTTGTGCTCCCCTGCATCCCCACAGCAGTGGTACGGCTCGAATATGTTGTCAAAGGCTCATTAATGTGCGGTCCTGGACAGTAGTGCTCTGCTGGGGCAATGTTGTACTTTGCAGAAGCTGCCTGGAACAAAACGTGTTATGAAGAGCTGTCCCTGGTTCCTGCCTGACTCCTTGTTATGGCTCCCTACTAAAAACTAATTCACCATGTTCCAAGGAAAGTAATCAGCCTCGGGTGCTGTTGGAAGAGCCAAGGCGCTCACCGTGGAGCTTGTGAGTTGTTTTTTCTGGTCAAATAATAAGTTTCTTTGTTGGCTAAGTTTAATAGATACAGCTGGTTCGTGAAATGCGCTTCTTCTTTGTGCTTTTAAAAGTTTGTGCTCTGCATGGAAAAGTGCTTTTGATTATGCTGACATGCTACATAAAGTGTAAAGAAGCGAACATATCTCATTGGAAGGACTCTTTTTGGTTAGCTTAGCAACTTTTCCTCATGTCCCCTGGGCTCTCTTTTGTCCTGCCCTAGTAATAACTTACATGAATAAAAAACGATCGGATTTATACCACCTTTTTTCCTCTTCATATTTTTTATTACAACACAGCAAAGAAATTAAGACACATTGAGCTGACCGTCGTTGTAAAGCATAAATTAAAACATGTCAAGAACCTAGAACATGTTCATACATATGCAGCATTTGAGATCCTACTTGGTAATTACCAGGTTTCATATCACTTTCTTTCATTGATCTTCTTTGTGTGATAACGGACAGTATGCACGTCTTGTCGCGGGTCACATCATTTATAAACGGCATTAGATTATCTGACTCAAACAGACTGCTCAACAGATAACACAATCCTTGGATAAAAAAGTTTGTTTAAACTCACTCAAACACGTAACACGAGCTTGAGGGTAATGGCTAGCCTTCAAATCCATATAAACTTCAATATCCTTTAATCTAGTGTAAAGGTTACATTTACTTTATGGAGCAGGGCAGTACACCTGTGTTAATAGTGCAGGATCAAAAGAGGGAGTTTTTGTTTTTAAACAGAACTTTGGAATTGTTAAAAAAATCCCACAAGGTTCATTGTTTTATTGCTGCTACCCCATCAGTTTGTGACCATTTAATGAGGAGCTCAGACTGAACTTATTGTGTTACATCATTGCAGTGGAAGGCTGATGTCTTATCAATATCAATCCAACCTTCCACTCAGGTGTCAGGACAGAACTTGGTGACACACAATCCAACTGATTCTGCAATTTAGGTGCTTAGTGGGACCATGAACACAAGAGCTTGTTAAACCTGAACTTCTTCATGTCCTGTAGCCAAGGTTATGGCTGATGAGTTCAAAAAGGCTTTTGACAATAAAGAAAACGTTTAAACTAGAAGGGTAGTTTTTATATTTAAATTTATATTTCATAATTAGTAGCCTGGGGCCCTTCTTCCGAGTTCAAAATCCTGTTTGCTCTGTGGCCTGCTTGTAACATTCTGTGAGCTCCCGTCACACCAATTTCTTTGCTTAACTGATTTCCTTTTCATGAGGATTCTGGAAATAGGAGTCTAAGAGACTGTGTGCCAGTTACTTGTGAAAGCTAAGTTTTCAGGGATTGTTCTTCTTAAATTTAGAGGCGTCTATGCTTGCAGCCTTTTATGAAAAATATTGGGGTAGTTAAAGCACAACTACCCTCTGGAGGAAGACTGTGCAGCCTCAAAGAGTCATGGATTGCTGCTGATTCCTCCCCTTCCTCCCAAAGTCTCTGAAAATATAATGATGAACGGCACAGAAATGATTAAAAACCTTTGCTTCATGTGTCAGGTTATTGTGTTGGACACACTCTGCAGTTTTCTCACCTTTACTTGTTCAAAGTGAATGGATACATGTGCCATAGACAAAAGCTATTTTTATTTGGGTCTCAACATGCAATATTATCCTGCTTTGGATGAAGAAGGATGTTGTTTTGAGTTATTTACAAGAGGCTTTGTTAGATTTAGCATTCAATTGGACAACATTTCTTTCCAAGCTGGACATATTAGCTGAAAGCTTCGATTACTCAGCCCCCTGAAAAAACTCTTGTCCTGGACAAATGTATACAGTGCAAGTGATTATGCATGAGATAATTAAACAGCAGGCTTGCTTTAAAACGTAGGCCTCCTTGGCTGCCATGCATAACCATGCTGAGCCTTTGTGTTTATGGTAAGTGGGCAGCTGCAGGCTTGTGAGACACTGGCTATGCCCCAGGCCCTCAACAGAGTCTGATAACTACTATTGAAGCCTCCTAGCTATGCTCATTTCTGACTATTCACTCAAGGCTTTAGATGCTATGTGTGCCTCCTGTCTGATGTAGCCTAATTTCTGTGAGCATGGAGACAGCTGTGGATTAGCCTGCATTCTACAATGAGTTTCATATATTACTTTTTTTACTCAGCAACACATAATAAAACTTGGTTGCATCTGCCCTTTGTGACAGCTAATTACTGACACCAACAATGAAATCTCGCTCTTTTCTTTAATTGGTGCACAATGCTACAGAAAACGCTGAACTGGTTTGACAGTTTGCCATTCAATGCTGGAAATCTTCTTTATGCATCCTGTATGCCTGTCTGCCGTTCATGACAAAGTTTGTTAACACAACCACTATGGTTTTCAAATATGGATTCTACACACACCATGCAATTTAAACAAACAAGCCATCAGAGCCAAGAGCAGACTTTCTAGGACATATGCATAATCTTACAGTACAACAGAAGGACTGAATATTTTCCCAGAATGTCTTTCACATGCATCATGGTGATGAAGAGCAGTCTAAATCACTCAGTTCAGTTTCAACCCAGGCATCTCAGTTGCTCAGCAGATGCTCGGATTACAGAGATGGCCACAATCCTAGGATTGTTGAGAGCATGATGTGGATAAAACTACCCCGTATGCAGGAAGGTCAAAGGAGGATACCTGGAAATCTGAACCAATTTCAAGGCATTTATGTAAACTTAAATATATAAACATAATCAATCATAAGGGGTGGGAATTACTGCCTCTAAAACTGGTCACAAAAGGTAATAATAACTTGATAAGCGGTAAACTGAATTTAATTAAAACTACCATCTTTAGTGGCCTAACAAGTTGTCACAATGCTCCACCACCTGTCATACCAATGCCATAAAAACGATTAGTGTTAACCCTGTCAGTCAGACACAAAGCTGCCAAATCCTTATGTAATGTTTGCTTAACCTATGGGATTACACTCTTAGCAAGGTATGAAAAATCTGCTCTAATTAGGAGAAGAGCATCCATGAGTTATTGCAGTTCAGTTGCCAGTTACACCATATATGCCCGTAGTCTGTTGTCCTTTTTAATATATTATTTTCAAGTAGTTTCGGAGAATTGTCAATAAAGACTTTGTAGAGTTTGTTTAGAATATATAAAAAAGAGGGGTACACTGATGCAGGCTTCCACTTCATTATTTAAGCAACCGAATCTATGGCTCATTTAGGCCGTGTCATATCTTGTTTGCAAGCAGCGATGGCTTAAGCTCTTTGGTAACCACAAAGGAAGTGCAGAGTCCCATCAACTTGCCATACAAAGCATTTTTGTCGTCTCGTAGGAAGTCCTCTTGCAGCGACAGTGCAGCTGTCACTTTTTGCAGTCGGTCAGCAGCCATTTTGCATGTGATGGAAACATCTTCCAACATTCTTCTCCATTCTTAGCGATTAGACTTGCCACAGTGGCTGCTGCTCCGACCTAGATAAAGAGCTATCAGGCTGCAGAAGTGCAGAGACTCCCGCTGATGCTGATAAAAGCAGCTTCGTCATGGAGGTCATTCAAGTTCTGACATCAGAATGGGAGTGGCTCCTCTTGGGCAGAAAATCTATACGCCTCATCTTACAGATGAGGAAAGCTTCATCCCCATCTTTGTTCCTGTAGTATAGGGTGTGTGCCTCTAGCACTTGGTGTAAAAGTTTGTTAGTACAAATAAAAGTTAAGTGCTCTTTGCCAATATGTTTCCTTTTGGAATACTCTCTGAGGTATGAAGGCTTTCGAGAGGCAAGGGGGCAAGGTCTTATTCTTATGTGTACAACATATAAAGCCACGGAATGTTTACAATTATGTTATGAACCTCACCCATTCAAAGTGCTCTGCTAAGATTTATGTGATAAAAACATAAGGCCTAAACAGGGGAAGGATGATAAATGATTGCAAGTCCCTGGAACGATTCATTATAGATTGTGTTTACAGTTTAAGTTTCAAAATGTAGAACTATACATTTTTCCGTTTTCCTCAGAGTAGAAAAAAATCATTAATTCTCCTTTTAAAGTAAACTTGATTTTCACAAGAGTTTCGCTTTTTATTTTTAATGGTGAGTGGGTTTTTTTTCATATGCTGATGCCATCTAAATTCATCGTAATGAGGGCAATGTATAAACAAGTGTTTCCTCCCCTCCAGCATAACAACCTATCTCTTCTCTGGAACACTGATCTGTGTGATGAATGGTCACGCACGGTATAAGCTAGCCTGACCCAGTCTGGCTCTGGTCTTTAATTTGTTCTTAAACTATTCACAGAGGCCATACGATAAGCTTCCAGGCGTCCATTATCTGCGTACATTCTAAAACTAAAATTGCATTTATGTTAAAGCTGTTTTCCTAATGTGTTTATTGTTGTTAATGAGAATCATATGCTGAAACATACATAACCTCCACTACGTCAGCTCCCTTTCATCTTGTGATCCAGCCCCTTCTGCACACACACACACACACACACACACACACACACACACAAGCACCCTCAACCTGTGATGTGGCCTCTTTTGTTTCCCACGGTGCCTCATTTTTTGTGCATTTTCTGTGTGTCATCACCTTATTTTCATTTCGTTTCCGTTTTTTTTGTGTTTTGCCTACAGTTGCCACATTTTAACCTTGCATGTTATTTCTTTTTTGTCTACCCCACTTTGTTGCAACCACCTGGCATTAAGCATTTGAAGAACACTAGCATTTGTCTGACAGGTTTAATGCTCAAAACACTGTTGCTCAAATCCTCAGATCAAAGGCTAAGCCACTTTCAAAAAGTTACTGAAGCAAATACCATGCACGGACTTTGCCACCACCAAAACCTCTTTACCCTAATAACATTTCTGCTTCAGGATCAATATGTTTCATTATGAAACAGACACAACATGGAGCTCTTCACATTTGTCAATTTTCCCTATTGTACCTCCAAACTATTGAGCATCCATGTTCTACCTGTACAAGCACACAGACATAATTAGTCAGTAAGTAACATTATTATGAATAGTATGAATCACACTATAATTCTTGAAAACAAAATATGGCACATGTTGAGGAGGTCTGGCATTTTTCAGAAAGACAAAGTGACAATTAGCTTTTTTTATTGTAGCTAGTAACCTATTAGTAGCTAGTTGGGAGATGTAGAGTATCATTCACAGGAACAGAATAATCACGTGGAGTAAATCAATACTATGGTGTAGAGAAAATACTTTTGGTTACTAAATCCTGAAAGAGTGGCACCGCTTTCTTTTACGTATGAAAGAGTGGAGCTCAAGTTAAGTTGCACTGAAAAGTTGAACCTGACAATAGAGCACTTAGTGACACATAAAGTAAGTTTTAGTCATAAAGTAAGATTTAGTCATACTCATTTAACATATATTCCTCAAAATGTGAACTTTTACCCCATGAAAAAAGGAAATGTGACAGCCCAGACAGTCATATGGTTAGATTGGTATAACATCTAATAGGTGTGCTTTAATGGTAAAAATGTTGCTTAACACAGAATAATTTGCACCTTGATCTAAATGTATCCACTTTTTAATACGCGTGTTTGTGCTCGAGTCAAGGCTAAATCATCTAGAGCTGGTTCAAAATGCAGCTGCCAGGTTTCCAACTAAAACAAGACGCCGACCTCACATTCTCCCAGTTCCTGAATTGCTCTGCTGGTTTCCTGTGTAAAATTTAATAAACCACCAAATCCTTAAGGTCCTCGACTATGGCTGCACTAACATATCTGGTCATGATTTTTTTCATTTATCCACTATACAGCTCTAATCTTTAAATCTGAGCATTTGAACTATATGTTGTTCTACTGCAAAAAATAAATGATCTAAATGCATTATTGTATATATATACAATAATGCATTTAGATCATTACACTCTACTTAAACTAATCTGTTGACAGTTATAATTTCAAGTGATGGTTGTATAGATTTACATCTGTGGTTAATCAGCTGTTACTGTAATTGTGGCTCAGCTCTAATGTGAAGAGGGTTGTTTTGATAACCGCAAGGTCAGCTATTCCCAGCCAGCCCCAGAGGATTCACTTACACAACTTTGACTTTGCACTGTTCCTCTCTGTAAACTCGGGTGTGCAACACTTACAAACCTCATTCCCTCAGATGACTGGTATTCCTCCAGTTGGACAGGCAAGAGCAAAACAAGCTACAGAGTTCCTCTTTTTTGTGACACTGTAGAGACCATGTGGAAGTGAAAATGCATTCTGTCGTGGTGACAGAGCCAGTGCCCTACGTTTCATTAGTCAAGAATGTTTGTTTACTCACTTGATATTGAAAGTGACATGTCGCCCCTTGCCTAGAATCTTTATTAATCTACCCTGGGTTTGATTATCTACGTGTTGTGTAAAGGTGAGAAACTTGTAGATTTCTTACTCTGGCTTGTCTTTCTGTGTCTGCTCAGGATTGGGCAAAGGAGTGAAGCACATTCCTGCAGGAGCTGAGGGTTGCTGTCGTGAGCCTTTGAGAAACCAGCCTGCTTCCACCGCACTGATCAAGATGGCTTCCTGCTTTTCTTCTCCTCACTGGAATGACAGGGTACAAGGATGTGTGTTGCCATGGTAATCATTTTCAAGAAAACACTGGAAAAAAAGAGTGGCGAGGATGTAACATCCAGGAGGACAGAGTTCGCCCCGGTAAAAACTATTTTATGACTAGAAACTATTAAAGACTAATAACCACTAATAACTCCACGGAATTTGAGTGTTTAACATATTTCTAAATTTTTCAACTTTAATCATAATTTAATTAGACATACTTGTTGGAAAAGCCCTGAGTTGGCTAACTAAACCTCAGATATGCGTTGAAATGACAACATGTAAGTTAAAAACAGCCAGAAAGTCATGTATGTGTTGCAATTACTGACAATTACATTACCGTTGCTGTTGTCTGCTATCACAAGGGTGTTTGTCATCATGTCCCCCCCCAGTCCATTTATTTAAATTTAGACAACAAAAGCGTATTTCAGTTCTACTCTAGTGGAGTAGCTCTGACTCATTTTCTATTTAGATTCTTCATTCTGCAGAGTGAGAAAACTCCCTCCCTCCCATTAGGAGATAAGTTTGCCCACAGCCACGTGAAATGAAGTCATCCTTCATTGTGCTGGAGTGTCAATCAGATGAATTTATGCAGGAACTCCCTTATTACACATAAACTGCTTTTTGGACTCTATTGCTGAGCAGCAGAAGACCTATACGACATAACAAAGTCCTGGGAGAAGCTCAACAATTAACCCTTAAAATTAGGTTTTGAACTTTTTCATTTGTAAAGCTGAAAGTGAAACTATTTTTTAAACAAACTATTTTCACAGTTCCAGGCACAGACCATGAGCCAGGGGACTACACTTTTCTCTTGTGGACTCATGGGTAAGAGTCTTAACATCCTTTGCCACCCACATACATATGTAAACAGAATATAGAATGTTAAATCAAAGAATGTCATGTCTTGTTTTTTTTTAAAGAACAATTAGAACTGAAAATTATTATAAAAACATTAAATTCATTTCTCTCGGCCCTGCTGTCTGTCAGATCTCACCAAATAAGTCACAGGTTGATGAAACATTTGAGTGTCATAATACAGAGGTGTTTACAGACCATACTAGGGTGTGTTGTTATTGTAATTTCAGAAAATTGATTGGCGACAGACAGTCTCTGCTGAATCCAAATAATAGTCACACACTCCATTATATAAAGCAGGCCCGACAGGTGTTTCTGAAAACGTGTTAATCATTATGTTTCAGTGTTCTCTGCCAGGGATCTAATGGCACTCCTGCAGGCTCCTCTGCTGTTGACGTAATGTCTTTTGAGTTGAAAATTAGGTTATAGTACTAGAGCACCACATCCCACATTATGCCTCCATCAGTAGCAGCAGCCTTTACAGTGGATGTGTTGAATTTAAAACTCTGTATCTCTTCTCTGGGTACCAAAGAAAATTGTAATAATAGATGGCCAGTAAAACATAGACCATTTGAATACTAGCAATGGGTAGTGGCCTTGATGTTTGAGTAGACTGACCTGTTCATTAAGGTCATCCGTTCAATTTGGCCAGTTTCTGTTGCACTTCTCTTCTGGTATTTGTTGTTGGTACAGCGCTTCAGTAGTGGCAGGCCCTTAGATGACCCTGTACAAAACAACACAAAAACATGTTGATAAATGTAAATAAGAATGTTGATGATGGTTCAAATGTAAGCAACTGGAACGGCTTAGATAATATGACGGATGACTGAGAGCCAACGCAGACTTTATGGTCACGTATTGACGTTTTATCACTGAAAAAGAAGTGTAATAGAGTCAGTTAGAAAATGAGCTTCATGCCCTGTCACAATCAGTGATGCAGTCAAGCAGAAGCTGAGGGGCAGGATTTATTTTTAGATTCAATTACTCAATGGGCTGTGCAACGTCAGTGCAGAGTAAACAAGCTAAAACAAATATGTCAATCTAGACACAAGCATTGTCAAGGGTGTTGTGTTCATGTCACGGTTGCCAAATGGGACGTCTCATTTAAAAAAAGAGCAGAAATTAAAGATCATTTGCATGACATGTGTCTCACAGGTTTAGACCAAAAAAAAAATACTGCCATCACTTGCCTTAAAACAGCCAAAAGGCCAGTATTATGGGATTTGAGTTAGCTGTTCATTTAATTAAATTTAGCTGTTTATTTCATTACATTTTTTGACAAATTGACAACAGTTAATTATACTACTACCATTTCCTGATAACAGGCTTTAATTACTTGGTTTAGCTCTTCTTTGTTCAATACATTTTTACATGTTTCCTTAAGTCTCTTTGACAGATACTGAAGACTTGATGGTTGTCTGTCCTGGTTTTCTGTTAATGTGCTGCCACAGACATTTGGAGATTGTTGTACATCTGAGGTTGTTGATTTTGAAGTAAAAGTCAAACCAAATTCACTGAAAGATTTTGCTACTTTAAATAGTTTGCTTCAAAACCCTGAGCAGTTTTAAGTGCACTGAAGCATACTTGTTATGATGTTGTTCATTTTAAGTTTTTTCTCCTCTTACCAAATAATAAGAATATTTGGTAAGAGTAGAAAAGTATGTGTAATTTGGAGTGGTTAGTGGATCAGGGAATAACAAGTTTGTCCTGAAATGTTAATTCACTTTGCGTTTTCTCTTTTTTGTTGTTGTTGCAGAGACAAGTCGGTGGCATGAGGTGGGCCACAGCTGTGCCATACAGCAGAGGCCAGTTGGAACCAGTCTGGAGAGTCTGTGGGATGTCCTGCCTGAGGTGAACAAGACTACTTCACACTGGGACTGGGATGTTGGTTCCAAATCCAGCACAATCACCAACTTGTTACAGGACCTCAGCCTGGCCGAGGCTTCATCATCCCTCTCAACTGCACCTCCCAGCAAGCGCCAGTGCCGGTCCTTGTCTTGCTCTGACGAGCTTGGTAGTTGCCGCTCTACCTGGCGCCCTCAGGGATCTCGAGTGTGGACGACAGTGGAAAAGAGAAGGTGCCACAGTGGGGGCAGCGTCCAACGTGGCCTTGTCGGGAACATGCAGCTCGGGTTCCCAGCCATGCAGCGTAGCTCCAGCTTCAGCTTGCCGGCCCGCTCCAACACCCTGGAGCTGCCCTCTTTCACCCAGCGTCCTGCTTGTCCCTCAGCCTTCACGTGTATGACACCCTTCACTTCCTCATCCATCCCCCTGTCTTCTGAGCCCCCAGCGCAGCCACTCTACCTCTCTCACGAACAGATCTGCAACCCTGAGCCCCACAGGCCCTCTCCCCCAAGCTCTCCTGATTCCACTCCAGAGCTTGAACGTCGTGGTGGACAGGGGGGTCTTTCCCGCAGTCGCTCACAGCCGTGTGTCCTCAATGACAAGAAGATTGGAGTGAAGCGTAGAAGACCAGCCGACTCTCACAAACAGAGGCCTTCTTTGGATCTGGCAAAGATGACCCAGGTAGGTTTTTCAAAATGTCCCTTTCTGAAACTCAACATATATATATATATATATGTGTGTGTATATATATATATATGTATATATATGTATATATATATATATGTGTATATATATATATGTGTATATATATATATAAAAGATGGTCAAAGTGTACCAAACACATTCCACTGTCACCAGCAACCTGAATTATTCATAAAATAAAGCAGGGATTTTACCTGTTCAGCTCAAATCTAACTGGCCATGGCCCCGGCTCCAACAATAATGTGATTGATCACAAATTTAAAATGACAACCATCTGAACAAGTTTGTCTAAATAAATGGCATTGGGCCTGTTAGTTCCATCAATGTCACTAACATTAGCTGCCTTTTCTTTGTTGTTTGGGCAATTTTCTACATTCATGCTGGCTTAACAATGTTTTAACTGAGGCCATGCCATTGTCTGTTCTCCCTCATTGAACCTCAAAGTTTTTCACAGTGGCCTGGTATCGGTTGCATTCCATTATACGGGTGTTTGGTTTTACATGAAAAACAAGTGAAGTATGCATTTCAAGATAAAACTGCTTAGGACAGAACTTAAAATAAACAACATTCACAAAATTTCAAAAGCCGTGCTTCTGAGTGGATCCACGTCTGAGGTTCAACTCGACAGTGTTGTGTGATATCTGTACATCCTGTTCATCTCTTGCCCCACTAGCACACAGACACACACATGGTAAAGTTTCACACGAACACTGGCCAGATCATAAACACTGAGCTGGACTTGGCTCCTCTGAGAAAGTCACTCAAAGTTCAGCAGTAATTTTACAACAGGTCTGCTGTGAAACATTAAGAAAAGACACCCCCCACACACACATACTAACACAGGATCCAAACAGTGACAAGGTTGGCGTGAAGAAGTAAGCATTAGGTGAGGCAAAAACAATGTTTTTACTGAGAGACGTCAGGGAGCTGAGATTGTTAGCTTTGGGGTGTCCCTGCTGTTTGAGGATAGTATTCCTCTATTTTGAAAAGCCTGCTGTAATGTTCAGCTTACTGTAGGTCTTTGAATTTCTTCACCATGAGATATCAGTTTAAATTAATACAAGGTTGCTGCACGTGAAGTAAATCACAATTTGGCTTACTAACACCACTGAAACCAGAAGGAGAAAGTTCAGAAAGTGCAGAAAGTTCCTTGATCCTAAGGAAAACGGTCCAGCCCTTCCATGAGTACAAATAAATGTTTGAGCAAAGGTCACTTTTCACACTTTATTCTCCTATGTGTCACTGTAAATAATGTGAGAAAGATGTTGTCCTGTCAGGATAGAAGACTGACCAAGCCCAGTAGCTTTTTCATGCTTCAGCTGTGTTGCTCAGTAGCAGCATTCAAAGTCACCTTACTATTCAAAGAATGGTGGTAGTGCTGAGTGTTGCTGCAAAGCGTCTCGTCATCCACACGCATCAGTGGTGTAGTTTACCCAGGGAGACATAGCTGCCCTCTCAGGGGCTCACTGCGGCTCTCTGAACGTCAGGAAGCAGAGCAGCTGTGGCAGAGGTCATAGATGGCCACACTAAAGAGGCGTGTGTTCGGAGAAGAGCTATTGATTTTTGAAAATTCAGCTCAGTGGGTGTATCACTGCTGCAACCAGGCCTTATGAGCTATTGATCAGCTTGTATTGATGGACCGTCAAGGTCAGTTTAGATGAAAGTCTCCTTTCTGCTTTACTATCCAATTCAGTGGAGTGAGGGTGGTAAAAGTGGACAGCAGCAGCACTGGAACATAATTTTAGTATTGTCCTCAAGAAGTTGCTTTGTGATTCAGCATCATGTGGATCTTTGTTATTTCATTCATCTAACTTTATCTAATCCTTCATGAATCATGAATCAACATGTTTGCTGTTGCAAGCAGTTTAAACCAGTGTTTAAACTGTGAATACTAAAAAACAAAATTTCTATAAGGCTAACGTGGACATGTATAGATAATGATAAGGATTGGTAGAATTGTAGAATGGTAGAAGTTGGTGTCCTGACCTTTGACCTTTAAGTCCTTAAGGGTTAATCAGGGACACTGTGTCACATAATAATAGTTTCTACAATTGACAATAAAGTTGACTTTGACTTTTGACTACCTTAAAGTTTCCTTGGATGAAACATTAGTGTTCTCATTTATGTTAATGTTGAAGCCACTTGCTTTCCTATGTTTTACGCTGCACTCACTCTGTTATCATCCTGGTCCCATGATCTGGGCCAAAAGCTCTGACTGTTGAGAGCAAATTCAAACACACAAGGCAGTAATGTGACACTGGCCTGGTGCTGACAAATGTACCCGCTTGACCAGAGCCAAGAACAACATCAGGGCCTCCTCTGATGTCCTGCTGCCCTCGGCAAAGCCCTTTCTCACTGCTGTCTGCCTAAAAAATGCGGATCATAATCTTACAGTTTCACCTCCCGTCTGACTCTGCCAATATTTATGTAGTCATAACAGAGAGGATTGGCATTACAGGTCATTTATCACATTAAAATAAACACATCTGCTGTTCCCAAAATAGAAACTATTAAGAGGTCTGTAAAACTAAAATCTAAATTCTATCTTAGTAATATCTTCCTGTCAGTTAAACCATTTTGGTAAGGCCACTTAATATCAATATTAAGAAACTTCTTGTTTTTAATTATGATAATGTCAAATAAATGTTATAACATTTTTAAACGCTGTCCAGACCTTTCAGGATATTCTAAAAAATCCCATTCCATAAAACAATTTTGTATCTTCATGGTATGTTGTGCTTTAAGTTAACCTAATAAAGCCCTTTCTATATAAAAACTATATGCTGGTCCTACATTGATTAGTTTGCTGGACAAACTTGGCATAAGTCTGGAGACCAACAGCAGCATGTCTGTTCCTCTAAGCATCACATAAGCACACAAGTGAGCGATTTCACAGAGGCCCCATTCTCCTGTGTCCTTCTGTCCGAACAGTGCAGTGGTCAGGCATGAGGCAGCTGTCTTGTCTTCTCCACATTAGCCTGTATAGATTGGTTAAGCTTCTGTCATAAAGCATCCAACTCCAGCAGGCACAGCTGTCACACCGCTCGCCTGCAGAATTGCTGCTACATGTGGCTTTGCCTATGGAACTTTCTGGACTTCCCAGATGTACGTGTTCATTGTGCCGGCAGAGTCCAACAGGCTAAGGTCAGTGATGACTGCCCTTTGGGTATGCGCACACTTGGTTCCTGTTGGAACTCACGTCGCACAGATTTACTTTTCCGAACAGCAGTTGCTCCGTCGTTAATACAGGCTAAATTTATTCCCATCACATTTTGTTGCTTTTTTATTTCCTGGTGGATGTTGTCCAGTGTCCAGTATCCAGCGCTGACCTCTGTGACTCACCCACGTACTGTATGAATACAGTAGAAGGACTGTTTTCACAAATGCCTCCTTGAAGACATTTGTGTTTGTGTGCCTTTTAAAAACACAGGTCAGAGTTGAGGATGAAGGAAATATTTTGGATTTTCTTACCATGGAGACTTTGGAGTCATACCAAACCAAAGATTTAGCATTTACTTAAGTGTATCCCTGTTTCCTACAAAACATCAAATGGATGCTTCTGAGAAAAAAAAAACACATCTTTTTTTTCTTTCACAGAAACTTCGGAATTTCCACAGCCTGAGCTGCCCTGGAATCACAGGCGAAGACTGCTGCGAGTCCAGCCAGGCCATCCCGGCTGCCCTTAGCTGCACTGAGCAAGACACAGATGACTCACGTGTAAACGAGCATGACTTGGACCAAGTTCACCCTCAGACCAAAGAGGACCAGAGCACTAGCAATGTGCGGAGGGACCCAACCATTGAGGAGGCGTACTGGAACGCCGATGTACAGGCAGAGACGCGGAACGGGAAGGACGGCGGGCCTCTGTGGGCCGGACTGTGCAGCATGAGGAAGGACATGTATCAGCTGGGAGGAGAGCTGGACATTGAGCAGATTGAGAGGAACTGAGCACATGTGGAGGAAAGAACATTTAGGGAACTCAAAGTTTATCACCAGATGGTACAGTAAAAAGTACTGATAGTCTTAAGGGGCAAAACACGTAAATGCAGATATGCAGCGTTTGTCTTTTTTTTTTTCTCAAGGAGAGAGCTTTGTTGGAGACTTTTTGTCCTAAGATGCTACTCCCACACTGCAGTTTATCAACTGTGTCTCAGGAGAACAAGGAAGTCAGGAAAAAGAAGATAAAAAAAACTTGTGGTAAAGACATAAGAACTGACAAATATAAGAGTGATACATATGTCAGCTCAGAGACTTGGCTCTTCTACATTTCCCTGACTGTCTTCACTGTACTATGTTTGAAGAGATTTCACAACAGGTTTGTACAAATTCACCTCTGACGTTCTTTACTAGTGCATGATCAACGGAAACAGGGAAGACAATAAGAGCTACTGTTAGCTAAAATATTAAGAACCCTTCCACTCTGACAGCACCAGTTATAGTCTATTGAAGAGTTTAACACTTCACACTGTAACGTCCGGCTTCTCTGTGAGATCCATGCTCTTGTTTGTTTGAGAAAAGTTTTTTTCTGATGCTAATAGTGTTGATAATCTCTCTTTTTTGTAACTACAAAGTTATGTAAAACATGAGCATATTTCTATACAAATAAAACACAGTTTTAAATGTGTTATTCACACTTGTCTTATTTAAGTCTCTGAGGCTTTAGTTTACCTGCCAACTCAGCTCTAGGTCCTCACATTTGTTTGAAGCTGCAGATGAAATCCAACGAAGATGGAAGTGGGTGTGGTTCCGTGCAGATTTGTTCCAGGTTTTGATCTAGTTCTTCCAAGTCCCACGTCTCCACATTTTGTCTGAAAGTGGAAAAAGTTTAGATTTACAAGATAGAAACAAATGTCTGCTATTGTTTTGGTATAGCGCAGTGTTTAAAAAAAATACAATTAGGACTATTATTAAAATCAACTTGTTATGGAATATGAATTTGGAATGTGAATTCATTGTTGTCATTCTAAAAGCAGGATATTTTTCAAAGAAATATTATAGAGATTATAGAGAAGTAAATATTCTAAGAAAAAAAACAAGCCTTAAACTTAGACTAAATAGCAGTCACAAAATGTATCACATACTGCACTAGACCCTTGGTATAAACAACTGATTGAATACAACATCAATAAGGTGGTGCATTATTTGATGTTGTATTCAACATGAAATAAGCATCATTCAATAAATGATGAAAACATGAAAAGGGCTTTACTATTACAAAATCAAGATTGTCACTTTCAAAAAGAACTGAATGATACTGTAAAAATGAAAAAAAAAGTCATATCTAATGATATGCTTCTTATAATTAGATTATAACTGTTATTAACTAATAATTTTACTGTTTAAAAAAATTTACATTAAAATTTACAACAGTAACCTTAGGAAAACTCAATTTCCACAATCGTGAAAACACGTTTAACTAGACTTCACTGACGTATTCGCTCTGGGGGCTTGTAAAAGCAACTATTACTGAAGTATTGAAGTAATTAAAAGTTGCATGGTTTATCAGTTCCTAATTTTATACGTTTTTGGCAGACGGCTGACAGCTTTGGTACATAAACCACTTAAAAACCAAAATCTACAATTCTTACATAAACCAACTTAACGTCAGTGTGGCTAAGGTCAACTAATCTAGCTTTGCCCCATCTTAGTTATTTTCTTTTATATTAATAGCAGCAGCTCTGCATACTTATTCTTTATACTTATATCTATGACTACACCCAATTGGGTCTCTTTTCCACTAAACCAAAAATGTCTTGAATCTTTAATTTTACCCATTTTTATCCAGGGTAATCTTGTTCCTGAGAGACCTATGGCTAAGCCAAAAGCATACAGACTCATTGGAACAGAAAATAAAAAAACTACATATGCACACATGTCCACATTGAAATGGCTGTGAGAATTTGTTATTGTGATTATAGGGTTTATTTTTAGGTCATCCTTTCATACTCCACCTCTCACTACTAGCTGTCAATACCTCACTAACTCTCACCTGTGAGCCTCGTCATTCACCATGGCACCAGGACGTAGTTGTACAGGGTTACTCTAAATATTATGTAGACCATCATAACTCATGTATATTCTGTAAGAAGTGACGATTTAAGTTCCTCTCTGTTCTTTTTGTTAAACTGATGAGAAGGTGGTTATGTGACAAACTGATGTCAGATAATAAATGACTGTCCTGTATTAATGAGGCCCAGGGCCTGTTTAGGTAGAGCAGCTTGGGGAATGCATGATGTCAGTGTGTGTTCATACATTTAATATGAGGCAAGTGTTTATGAGTGTGTTATGACGCCGGGGCAAAATAGTTTCCACCTACAGGATTAAAACACTCGCACCAGAGACTGGGCAACATTCATTATCTAAATGTTCAAGCATTATTCAGGACTTAATGTCCAAATCTTGGTCTTTGTGATGGACTCTGATGTAAACACCTGACAAAGAGACACAGCCAGGGTCCAAACTGTCAGGTTTAATCACTTCCCCTATTTCCAGGTCCACCTGCTGCTTTTGACAGGTGGAATATGATATATAGAATGTGGAGATTAGACGGGGCAGCTGTGGTCACCAACAGTTTCTCCACGTTTTAGCCTGGGTTGACTCTGTGACTAGACGGTGGTTTTATTCGAGTTTAGAGGTTACTCTGCTGTATTGAACTAAGGCAGCTGATAAACACCTGCTGATCTACAAGGGTAAGTCAAAAGAGTTGTAACATTAAATAAAACCCTAACTTATGGTAACAACAAAGCTATGTCTCTACACATCTTACATGTAAGTCTTAACAAGTTATTCCCATCGGAAGATTTCACCCCCAGGCCCACGGACCAGCACCAGTCCGTGGGTCCATTGGTTCCGGGCCACACAGAAAGAATGCATAACTTAGATTATTTCTGTATTATTTATTATGTGATTCTGAATGATGTTTTTTTTTTTTTTAATATTACCGGATTATCTCCGCCACATCTGTCTATGACTCACACTTGACACATGCCAAGATGCTTGCCACGGTCACAAAAATTAAACGTCTTTGGAAAGTTTCTAGAGCCTAAAAGAAAGCCGCATTTAACTGAATTCCAGAGACAGAATTCCAGGAATCCTACTTCATATCATTTTATGTAGCTGCATTTAATTCACCTTAAAGAACGGTCCATGAAAAAATGTTCAGACATTTAACCGGTCAGTGGCACAAAAAAGGTTGGGGAATACTGTTTTAGAGCATGTCTTTCGCACCAGGTCATGCCTTTGCTCCTTTGCCCCACCAAGGACTGAAAACAAGTTCTTTCTAATGTTCCTTCAGTTTTTTGAAGAAAAACAGAGGGAGTGTTTTATTCAAATTTGTTTTTAAAAAAAGTCAATCAGTTTGTTCACTGGTTTGACAAATAGTTAATTTTTCTTGGTCGAAAAACCCCCACTAAATCACTAAAACAACACTGCTTAATATTGACATAGATTTAACAATAAAAAAAACTAGTCTTAACATGTTTCAGTTAATACAATGAGAGGCCTTTTAAAATTATAACACTAACCCTCACATCAAAATATTTAATACTTTAAAAACAGTTACTCACTCAGTTAAACTGTATCAGAGTGAATGTTTCCATTGATTTATTGTCATTTACTCCCTGGGTAATTTTTCTACCAAGAACTGAGGCCTTCATCCACCATCCACATACAGGTCAATGACACGGATTGTTCCCAGCTGTTCCGATCAGTTCAGCCTTTATCTTTAAGTAAACAGGAGAATTGTCAGAGATAAAATGTGTTACATGTGCTGCTGTTTATTTTCCCACTTATAAATTTTGACAACGACTAGTCTGTTGTTGTAGTGTTTGAACAGAAAGTGTAAAGATTATTTTATGCTTCTGTTCCGTTAAAGTATTTTCTTTAATGTCTTTTGGCCCTTTTTTCAAGGTTGACTATAACCTGCTACAAAGTCAATCAGTGTTAGGCTGTGTGACTGAAGGGACGTCTTCCCCTTGTTGGTGCACATGCACATCAACAGGTCATTGTTGGAGACCGCAACATTATAGACTGACCCAAATAAGAAACAGGAAAAGACAATCAGTGGCACAGTCATGGCAGAACTGATGAGCCTGTGTTTGTTTGCTGAAGCGGGGAGTGAGCAGGGAGGACGCCAGGCAGGGGTGGGAAGTCCGGTCTCTTTCTTTTTCCTTTTTTGTTTTTTGTTTTTGATGGCGGGTGGAGCGTTGGAGCTGAGCGGTGGTTTACCCCAGAGACCTTCCTCCCTCCCCTGCACTGGGAAACAAAACGCAGCTTTTTCTCTGAGGAGCACAGTGACGTGGGAGGCGGCTGTGAATGTGGGCCATGTGTCAGGGCTGCTGCTGCTGCTGGTTAAAAAAAAAAAGAAAAACGAAAAACAGAACATCAGAGTCTTGTTAGTGGCTCACGGCGCTGGTAAGACTATACACCGCCTCTGCCTGTTTGCTCAGACCTGCACTGATGTTTGTCATTCTTTCAAAGTGTAACGTCGACTCATAAAGCAGCTGCTGAGTACTTTGAAGGTTGCCTGAGATGATATTCAGGCTCAAATATCACACACTTCAAAACTGAGCGATCAGACTCACCCCTCCAGTCCAACGTGGTTTTTATGATGTGTTGGATTACAATGTGAACTGTACACTTCCACACTGGGGTCATATTTACACTGTGGTACATGCCCGTGGCCTCTTCTCCCACTCTCTCAATCAGAACCTTTCTTTTCACATAATGAGCAGAGAAGCAGGGCTGAACACTGAGCTTGTAAATGTGCTGTGTGGCAGATGGACACTCCGAGGGGCCCTGGCCTTTAATCAGCAGAGTCACAAAAGTGAAAGGAGGCTGTGTTCTGACGGCAGATAGGAGGACAAACAAGAGGGATGCACACTCCACTCATTCACAACCCCCCACCAGAAGTGACACAACGAGATGCGGGGTCATTATCCAACTGTCACTGTGGGTTACTCACTGCGTCATCACCTCAGAAGATGAGTCACGTCAGGCATCACTCGCCTTCTTACATGTGCCGACAGAAATGCAGATGTTTAGGATCCATCAACCTTTAATCAGGCAGAAATAAAGTTATTTGAATAGTCAATAGTATATTTAACTAATTACAGTCCAAAATCACATCTTCGAATAATCTTTGAGTTAAGGTTAAGATAGATCAAGTAAGACTCGTGCTGGCTAGTCAGTTTAATGTTAAATTTAATTAGTTACCTTGGTATGACAGGGTTTGGTCTTTTCTCAATTGTTAAAATCTATTTCCAGAACGTTCCTACGTTATCGCTTGTAGTTTAGTAAAAAATCTGGCAAAAGAAAAAGACCATGGTTGTTTACATGGACATACAAATATTTACAGACAGATAGATTGCCAAATGTTATACTGGTTATCTCTTGCTGTTCTGCGCAGAAGTTCAGATGTAGTCATTTGGCTCTGGTTTGACCTCTAGTTTAAGAGGCTTCTATGGAACTATTCAGAAGTGAGAAAGTCATTGATGACGCATCAAAGTTGAATCCCTTTCCAGGAACCTTAGCCAATCCAGTGGCCTACATCTAAACTTCTGCGCAGAACAATTTTTCTAAGTTCTAAGATGTAACATATCTTACATAAACCTGAAAGGAAAAACAACGGTCATATATGTCGAGATCTGATGGGTCCACGCCCCAGCTTGGAAAAAATCTTTTCTTTAGCAACTTTCTGCACTCATTGACATACAGTAAGAGGAAAAAAGTAAGCCCCAAGTTTTCTTAAACTTGTGTTTCATGATTGTGTATGAAGTTTTAGTCTGGGACTTTTACCAAACCTGCCTCCACATGTCAACACTTAAAAGATTATATTTAATATTCAACACTTATTATAATTATTATACTACCATAAGATGGTAGATATACTCAAGATGTCCTATCTTGGGGATTTACTATTATTTTGAATGGCATGTAAACATGTTTGTGATTTATATAGGTTTATTTCACAAGAATTCACGAAATCTCCCACCCTGAGATACAACAAAAACTCTTCACACCAACAAACAAACCACTCTGTAACATGAAACTGAATGTTGGCGCTGCCTCCACGTAGCAGCTCAAATGTGGTCGGGGGGAAAAAGCAATTCAGCTGTAACACTCAGCCATAGAAGCATTTGCACATGTGTAAAAAAAACCATTCACATTCTCAATCAGAACACCAGCACTTTTGCAGGTATGGGGTTTTGAATGTCACTGCCCCCACACACAGCTCTGCTCAGACTCCAGCAGGTCCAAACCACACACTGTGCGCAGGACGTGCTTTCTGTTTTCAAGTTCAGTCAGTGTTATGTCTGAAGTCTGCACCCACACAGAAAAGCATCAAGGTCAAACTTCTCGTGTAAACGACTGGTTCTTAGCCGTACTGCTCAGACCAGGAGGTTTAAACTTATCAGTAAGATGACTGCAGAATCTGAGGTGTGAGGACGACAAAACTAAACAAAAAGGAACTGGACACCTCTCACAGGACATAGCCCAGGCGCAGAGACGACAGCTTTATATCTGAGGTCAGCAGTAATCCTTCAGACGTTCTGCAGACGGAGACAGTTAGTTTACAGTCTATGCTGACATACGACTGCTCTCTGTCTGGATTGTACATACGCACATGCCGGTGTGTGACATCACAGTGTTGGGCTTTGTGTCTGAAAGGCCAAGCCTCTGAGGGTTTGGTGGACTGTCGAGCAGAGGTCATGTCCCTCCAGGCAGTGACGGCCACAACTGTGTCGGTGCAGCACAGGCTGCTCTGTGTCAGAACTGAGACACTTCTCAGACTGCGTTTTAGGACATGTGGTGGAGAATAGGGACAGGGTGGAGATGGGGGCAGTCAGAAGAGTGAGGACATTCAGGCCTCAACTTCCAAACCCATTCTGAAATTTTTAAGCCCTCCCACGCTACTAGACCTCGCCGCCGGCATGACTGCCCACGAGAGAAGGAAAGTGATGACTGTTGGTGGAAATCAGTGAGTGAGTGAGTGCATGGTCTCCACATGGGCCTGCACTCTGTGCACTGTAGGGAGGGGAGGCATAACTCACTGCTGTCAAAACAAGGCCGCGTTTCCACGGATAACGGCACATTTAGAACTGCAGGTGTGCAGCGTTGGCTGGTCAGCTGACCCACAGTTTCCTGTCAAACAGGAAGAGCCAAATGAGCGCAGACGAAAGTTCAAGCTAACACACAGCTGGCAGTTGTTAAGGTGGGTTAATGCAGGTGTGGTACAAGAGCAGCAGTGTGTGTGCCTTGTAAGCGGAGCCTAACTCAAACAGATGACATAAAAACACTCCTGAATGTTTGCTCGCAGACATAGACTGCAGCAGAGTGTGTGGAGAAGCCCATCTGTAGATTATACCAGAAAATCCTACAAATGCAAATAGGTGCAACTGTTTTATTTCTCATATGTAGTGTATATATTGTATTTATACGCAAGTATTTTTAAGAAAATAAGCTATAGAAAGATAATTATCGCTCTCTCCCTCAGATATAAGGAACAAATAACATCATATTCACAATATTATAATAATTATTTAAAGGCAGGGACATTCCCCTCCTTTTCTCAATTCTGCCCCTGTATCACAAAAAAATAAGGTCATTTGACATGGAAAAAGTTACTTCTGGATAAAATATAAAATAAAATACACAATTGGCAGTTATACAACTTAAAGGTTGTAGAGTAACCTAAAGAGAGGTGAGGTGCTCTTGTTCGCACCATTAGCTTAGCTTAATTAAATCCTTTTCGTGTCGTAGAAAATTGGACATTTAGTTGTTGGAGCATGAGATTGTTTCTAACCTCTGTCCTGTGGTGTCCTGTTTACAGTGGACAAACACTGGTCACATGTGTAAATGTACAGTATTATCTGGCCTTAAGCCAGTGTTTACCAAAGTGGGGGCTGCACCCCCTTAGGGTGGCAGGGTTATTGAAGGGAGGGGAAGTCAAATTAATTGAAATTTTAATGTTTTTGATTTGTCTCTGGGAGGTGTGTGTGTGTGTGTGTGTGGGGGGGGGGGGGGGGGGGGGGGTAAGGGGGCGCTGCAGAAAAAGTTTGGCACACAGTGCCTTAAGGTAGGTATCAATCAGGTTACAGCATTATTATATTTACATACAATTATAATGTACTGCATTTTAGCAACATTTGACTGTTAAAAAATAAAATTGTTGTAAAAAATGTAAAAAATTAATTGTTTGTTAAGTGCCACTGGAACAATTTAGTTTTCTTCATAACTTCTCAGTGGAATGTAAAACAACAGGACAGGCTGTGAACATTGGCACATCAAAGTAAACACTTTCTTTTGACTTTACTTCAAGGTTTTAAACTGTACAGTTGAAGTATATGCTCACACTGAAGGCTGTTTGAAAAGAAGGGACATTCTCCTGCTTCCCTAGACAGACAGGCCCCAGGGTTTTACAGCCCTCAAGTGTCAGTCAATACAAGATCAGAATGGAATCATCATCTTAATGACTTCAAGTTTAAGGAGTGTCTGTCTCTGTGTGTGTCTGTTTGTGTCACTGTGCACGAGGATCCTTTTGCAGTCACAACTTCATTCCTGAAGCTCTAAGAGCAAGGTCAAATGAAATTAAACCAAGTTTCCAAGGGAAAAAAGCTTGGACCACGTTTTTTTGCATCTATGACATGTTTTTGTCTTGATGAGCTGACCGTATTTTATCTGTTAGTTTATAAATGTCAGATTAAATGCAGATGTTTTTTTTTCCCCAGCAGGCTCACAGAGCTCGGTGTTCCAACATTTGAAAACAGAAAATGGATTCAACCTTAAATGCTGTGAAACAGGAGAAAGCTGTGAAACTGTGTTCGTCCATATACACACAACTGCCTCACAAAGTACCACACTGAGAAATAAGAGGCTTTTGGATCTGCAAAATATTTAACTTTTCGATTTGAAAAATGACATAAAAGAAAATGTTCTCTGTTAGCTGTCCTGCCGACCAGCTGACGTAAATAAGAGGAAAATCATTTAGGGCCTAACAGGGTTTACTTCAAAGAGAGTACACTTAATGCATGTCATTGGTACGTTGATGTCAGAAGGCATAATGTGATTTGGATGTGAAGGTGACACGTATTTACGTAAAAACCTCCAACTAGAAATTCGTCACAACAACGGCAGCTTCATTCACTGAAAATCTGAGGACACACTGCTGGTATGGGGATGTCAAACATGTCCAGACATGTCTCTATTATCTAAAGGCCAAACGTGCTTTGTAGCAGCAGCTGAGGCTGCAGTGAAAGAATCAATGTTTTCCGTGCAACACTGACACTATCAGTGTTTACAGCTCAGAGCCAGGAAAACTGCTGCTAATATGTAACTTGTGTGAAATGGGTGAGGAGAGCCCGGAGGGAGTGGATGACAAACGGCTACAGCGAAAGCATACACAGCTGATGACTAACGGGATTGATCACAAATAATTAGTAATGAAGGGATTTTACATTTCACACAGTAAAATTAAAAAAGTCAAAAATACAAGACATTCGTAGATGTGGTATTAGTCCACTGACTGTAGTGTTTTATTGAAGTTTCAAAAAGTTTAAAATTTAGCTTTTTATGTCTTCAAAGGACAATGAACTCAATCCTCCGACCGCAATAAATCAATGTTTAACAGCCTGTTGCAAGGTAAATGATTGACACAGGAACCATTTTTATAAACCAAATGTCATTAAATAAAAAGTGAAATCATGGTTTAATCTGTTGAAACTGAGAACTAGTTACTCAACATATTTTTTCCAAATCAGAATAACAAAGTTAGCTTTGGCACACTGAGCTGTTTCATAATACTTCATAGCATTTCATTACCTATAATTGCCCAATAACACTCAAGCTTGTGTCAGTTAATGGTGAGTTGAACCAGAAAGGCCTCGGTGAATCACTTGGCAATGGGCTTTTGTTCTTGATGAATCCATTTGGTACAATGAAACCTCGGGGGCAGTGACGGAGGATCGTTTGTTTTACGCCCCACTTCCAGAGGCCTCAATAATCCAGCTGGCACACACAAGCCCAATAACCATTTTAAAAACCTAATCATTTTATC